CGGAACCGGGGCCGTGGACGGGGTTAGCCACCGGGTTGGGTTTAAAAACTATGGGCAGATGCCTTTTATTTATAGGTTTTTTTTCTTTTTCTTAGTTTTTTTGCATTTTAATTAATTTTTTTTATTTGATTTAGTTTGTTGATAATTTTTTATTTAGCTATTACACTGTTATAACATAGTTTCCAGGTTTGATGAATTAACCTGATTTGAATGGTTAACCCAGTTGATTCATATTTCTTTCATTGATTAGTTTTTTCTTTCAATTTCATCTTTTAATATCGATTTGATGGAGAGTTAAACTTTATGATTTATTTTGTTTACTTTTCATTAGATTATAGTGATTATATGATGAGATTTTATTATACCCCTCCTCACAAAGCACTATTCATTAAACACAACGGTTTGCTTTATTTTTTTCTTTTCAATTATTTTTTGTTTAATTTTATTTTTTTCTATTTAGCTATCACACTTTCATGACACGACCTTGCAGTCAAGCACAAATTTAAAGCTCTTGGATTTAACGTACTTTCATGACACGGCCTTGCAGTCAAACACAAATTTAAAGCTCTTGGATTTAACGTTATAGCCAGACCCACTTAAACTTGGGTCAAACAAGTTAATATTATTATTAATATTAAAAATATTATTATTTTTATTATAACAAACATTGCTAAAATGATAATTAATAAATTTTTAAAAAATTATTAATATTAAAAAAGCAACCATAGATTTAATATGAAAAAGTAAAATTAAAAACTACTACTGTTGTTGTCATCGTCGTAGTTATGAAAAAATAAAATTAAAAACTACTATTATTGCTGTTATTTTTGTCGTTGTTGCTATTATTGTCATTATTATTATTATTATTATTATTATTATGATTAACAGTATCATTTTTATTCTTAATATTGTTATTATTATTAATTTTTAAAAAATATTATTATAATTGAAAAAACCATAAATTTAATTTAAAAGTATTAAAAATTATAAAAATACGGGTAAGACAAATTTATTATTATTATTATAAATATTATTATTTTTATTATTAGTAGGATAACCAAACCCTATAAACTTGAATTTGACTAGGACGTAATGCCTAATTTTATAACTATTATCATTATTATTAATATTTTTTTAATATTATTATAATTAAAAAAATCATAAAATTTAATTTAAAAGGATAAAATAATTATAAAAACTTGAGTAAAATAAATTTAATAATATTATTAATAATATTATTTTTTATTATGTAGAATAACTAAATCCAGGAGTCTTAGATTATAAGCAAGAGGCTCGGGTCAAACTTACTCTTGGATCTAACTTACCATTTCATATTAATGATTCTTGATATTTTTATATTAAAAAAACTAATCTACAGGCATTTCTAAAGCATTTAAAAAGTATAAGCTGCTCGCCCACCAAGTGTCATACAGCTCATGTCAAAGAGTTGCTCCTTCGTCGAGATTAGGTTCTCATTCGGACCACAAGAGGCAAACCCCTGAGCAGGTTTTGCATGTTCCAAAAACCAAGCATCTTCGAGGGAGGATATTTTCAACAGCTAAATTGATGAAATAATATTTTGAACAGAATAAATATAGTTATTTTTATTATGCATATTTTAATAGAAAAAAATTATTTGAAAATTTAATTGTGTTGGAGTAGAAAAAATAAATGTTTTATTTTTTTAATAAATTTGATATCATTTTTTTTTTTACATTAGCTATATTTAGTTGGTTTATTTTTTTTAGATGGATTCACTTTACTGGTTTTATTTTTTTTAAGATATATATATACATAAGGCATGATTGGAAAAGAAAAGATATTTTAACGTTTTATTTAACACTCTCTTCAAAATACACAAAACAAAAATAAAAAAGTTAAAATAATATATTTTAATTTTTAGCTTTTCTCTTGGTACATCCCTTGAAGTTTCTTTCTCCAACAACATGACCTGATTTACGCAAATGCTCTGCATCCAAGCTTGCTTTTTACCTGATTTGACAGACTAGGAATGCCAGGACTGATCATGATGGTTCTCGAAGAGAGAGCAACAGCCGAGGAATCATCATTATTCTGCCGAGTGAAGATACTCGCCACCAACTGGACTCCATGTACGAGAGCATCTTTTTTTTTTTTTTTTTCAAATCGTATTTTTAGATATTTTTAAATTATTTTGATTTAATGTTATAAAAAATAAAAATATTGTTTAAAAAAATTATATTTCCACTGTAATCTCAAACACGCCATGGCATTGTTCTTCTTCTCCAGACTACCAATGGCACTTCTGCAACTGATCTATTGCAATAATCTACCAGCCACGGCTCCAAGAGTTTGTACTTGAACTCTTGCGAACTAATCTGTCAATAATAAAATAAAAGGAAGCACATGGGAAGAAAATTAAGAAAAAAATAAACTTTATCTATTCCTATCAGAACAACATGAAAATGAAAAGGCCAAAAAAAAAAAAAACAAACGATGTAAATAGTATTTTTAAAAAATTTAATTTATTTTTTTTGTATGTTTTAAATTATTTTGATGCTTTGATTTTAAAAATAAAAAATTTTATTTTAATATATTTTAATATAAAAATACTTTAAAAAATATCTTATTTATGATTTAAAAAAAACATAAATGGACAGTTCCGTAAGGATTTCCCAAGGCAATACATTTTTCCAAGCAAGTTGACCATGGAACCTGTCACCCACTTAACCAGCATTCAACCATGATGCATGATAATTAATTAATTACAAGAAAAAAAAATCTGAACAAGTTAATTACACAGATAATTAAATCAAGCAGCAGATGCTTAGAAACCACACAGATTGGATGAATTAATTATGAAGTTAAGATGATGGAATCGGGTTCTCGAGCGTAAACCACTCCAGTTTAGGAAATTATTTGGCTGTAACATCGTAAATTAATTTTCAAAATATTTTTTATTTTAAAAAAATATTTTTCATATAACACATTAAAATAAAATGAAAAAAAATATTAATTTAAAATAAAATAAAATAAAATAAAATATTTTCAAAGATACTTTTAAAACACAAAAAACAAAAACAACTTTATTTTTAATAAATCTCTGAAAAAAAAGGGTGAGCATAGTAATACAAAATAAGATTATATACTTGATGCCTCGATTTTTATTAATCTTATATTCGTGTACCTTACTTTTAATTTTATCTATTTAAATTATTAATATTTTTCTTTTAATTTAGCAATTATTGTAAGTAAATATATCAGGTGATAACATGTGTATTATCTAGTAACACATGAAGAAAAAAAAGAAAATGTGGAATCACAAATTGAAAATAGAAATTCGAAAAAAAATTAAAAATAAAAGAGAGAAACGGAAAACAACAATCAATTTAAAAGGAAGATGGGTATGCACATCAGAACCATATCTAAAGAGTTTGTCAGTTCCTCCCCACAGAAAGCCCATTAGGATGAATGGGCTAGAGGCCGGAGCCGGACATAGTTAGCCCAATTCATGAGATAAGTAACAAGACACCTCCACTAGATTTTAAACCCGTGTTTTGTTGATCGGAGCCACGCACACTAGACTAGACAGATCATCTTGTTCCTGGAGGTGGAACATGAAGCATCCCGTTTGGCTTGGCGTTGAACTTCCTTAATTTTTCCATAAAATCACTCGCTGCTCTCTCACTGCACTTTACTATGGAAACTACGTCAGTTCTCCTTCACTCTAAAACAATTCCTTTCAGTTTCACCATCTCTCACAACAACAGCAGAAAACTCTCTTTCAGGCATTCCAACAAACAGTTTCAATACCGTTTGTCAAATAACAATTTCCTCTTTGGTCAAAGCCTTAAACCCATCAAAAACCAAGCAGAACTTCCCTTTTCACTATATCAATCAACTTCATCACTGAAAATTACAATAACACACTTGTTATCTCCTCCCAAATGCTCATATTCCGGCTCTGCAAGCACAGACGTTTCTCAAAACCACCCATTTTTAAAACCCTTCAAAAACCTCTCTCTTGATGAACTGAAAGCGACCCTTTTGCAATTAACCCCTATTGATATCATCAAGTGGTCAGGTATCTTATCAATTGCAATTGCAACCACAAAATGGACTGTGAATTTGGTCTTGAACCCGTTTTTCTGGATGTATTTTAGCTGGACATGGTTGTTTTGGCCGTGGTTTGTGGCTATATTACTTGCTGTTTATGGGTTATATTGCTTTTATAAGCATTCAATCGGCGAAGCTAGAATTTTTGAGCAACTTGCGATTGTTACATCAATGTTCACTTGGTTAACTCTAGTCCCTCCAGCCCATTTCAATGGATACCTACAAGGATGGCCTTTTGTGTTCTTTTTTGTGTATCATTATTTCTTTTTCTTCAATGTAAGTGTGAGGAAACGTTTGTATGGTGATTATTATGCACGCCCGCATGACCCGAAGTGGGATTTAAAACCACCCAGATGGTCTCGCCTTTTGTTCTGCGTTGGGGTCATGGTTGGGCACTGGCTTGCAGCTTTTGAAGGTCCAGAGCTGCACCTCATTCCTGGTGGGTGGAACAACGTGGGGATTTGGATTTTGATATTGGCAACTTGGCTAATGCAGTATAATTCTACATTTTACCTTGCCAAGTATTCGGAGAAGGTGGTGGTGCCTATTGCTGTTGTGCAATTTGGGCCATATAGGTGGGTCAGGCACCCGATCTATTCATCGACAATGCTTCTCTTTGCGACTTATTTCCTTGCGCTTCGTGCACCTTTGAGCCTATTGTTTGTGGTAGCGGTATGTTTGATGTATTATGCACAGAAGGCAAAAATGGAGGAGGATCTAATGATTGAGACTTTCGGGGAGAAGTATCTAGAGTACATGGGTAAAGTTCGGTACAAGTTCATTCCTTTGGTTTATTAAGACAGCATCCAGGTATGCGTTGTTGATTCCTCAACGTGACCAATTTTCTTGGATAAAGGTGCTTGGATTTTTAATTGAGAAGGAAAAAATATTAAATTACCGCGTTCCATTGTTTTAATCGTTACTCATGTCTTTCGGCTTTTCTTGGTGTAAGTTTTCAGAGTGCTTCGCTGTGACTTGTTTATTCATTCCTATGTCTAATGCAATGAGCTAGTTTAGTGGTGACTCCTTGTGCTAATATGGATTGAATAATTGTAGTTGCGTGCAAAAGTATGGCTTTCTATAGATAATAAGCATGCTGGGCGTAACTAATAATGTTGTATCTGCTCTTTGCTAATTTCTAGGTGGTGCCTTCTTGATGGTCTTTGCTAATAGTGAACTTGACACTAATCTCTTTGTTGAGTTTCAGAGGGGAATTATAAAGTGCTCTCTAAGTTCATTATACATATTAAGTTGCACATTCTGAAGAATTTTAGAGAGATTCACTTCAGCTAGAAGGTACAATCACTTGGCAAATCCTCTAGCAAGCTATATTTGAACACAAATCATAAAATTCTCATTTATTTTGTTATACATATTTAATTGCAATTTCTGAAGTGATGCTTAGAGAGATTTACACAAGCAAGAATCTATAATCACTCGGCTTTTCCTTTAGATTGCATTTTCAAACAATTTGAACAAGGAAATTTTGTGAAGTAACTTGGGTGGTTTGTGGAAAGATGAATATGATGTATACGATTTGGAGACTTTTGATATTGCAGTTCCAGATTGTTGGAAATTTGACTATAAAATAAATAAGGATGTTTAAGAGTTCAAGTGAATGTATCCTAGAGAAAGTGGTGGCAAGATCAAGTCAGGACATTAATGGGCGTGAAGCATCTGATATCATTTTGTTGCAGCGTTTTTCTTTTTGATATTTCCAGAAACAAGTGTTAGAAATTTGACAGTAAATCTGATGAGGATGTTTAAGAGTAAGTAAATGCATCCTAGGGAATATCATTTGGTCGGGGCATTTTTCATTTTTTTCTTTTAGCATTTGAATGATCAATGATTATCTTTATTCTACAAAAAAAGTCTTCATCTTTTAATATTTCCATATTTCCCACTTATTTAATTGTCAACTTTAGTATAGTTCTACACTTATTTGAGGCTTTTGTTGGTCTATCTGTTGGTTATGTTGGCGATAGCCATGCCATTTTGTTGTTTTACCAGTCATTCAGTATTTGAGAGATAATTGATATTAATACTCTGAGTAGTGAATCAGTATGTGCTTTTTTCCTCATTTATGCTGTGTATTTTTCTCTAGAGGCTAAAGAACTCTTATATTCTGTACATTAAAGTGGAAAGGTGTTGTTCTTTGGAGATCTTCAGCGCTTCACTAGCGCCTTGCTTTGTCAACATATGACTCTTGGTTTTAAAAAATTTGAGCTCTTAACCATTGTCTTTTGCCTGTTGAGTGAACTAGGGTAGGATTGTTTCAGGAATACAATAAAGTTTGAGGCATCCTTTTCACTTGCCTTGAAAGTTAAGTGTTGAACAAGGAGTTTATTTGTTTTTTTAAATTCCTAACTAATAATCTACATTTTATTCCACCTGATACATGTTTTCAACATCTTACGATAGCTTAATGCCTCCATGTTTATTTTCTCACTTTTGGTGTCTCTGGTTGGAAATTTTATGTTCAATTGAGATCATGCAATAATATGCATGCATATATCTTAATTTAAATATTAATAATCTTAGAACTTTGTTCTTTCTAATTCCAATTTAGAGAGTTGCATTACCAATGTAAACTGTACAAAGTGATAATAGCCTCATACAAACACCCTCTGAATTATTGGTCTTTTGGATGGAGATCCTTCTGTCATCTTTCATTCACTTTCTCCCTTAAAATCTCACGTGCTTATCACATGCTTAATGCTAAAAATGTATAAATTATGAAGACCCACTACTATTGACTATTTTGATTGGCAACTCCTAAATTTTTGTTCTTCTAATTCTAATACCCAAGTTATGAGGTGATTGGATTGAGGCCCCTCCATTAGGTTTCACCCAACGATACCGCGGTTTTATCGATGTGAGTGTTCATCTCAATTTTAAATCCAATCATTATCATAGTTGACTATTTTCATACTTGGAAATTTCCAATTGAAAAACTAAAAACTCAAATTTTTTTAGTTTGATTTGAGTTTAAAAATGGTTTTTGAGAGGTTGAAAGAATTATTTTAGCTGTCTTTTGAGTTTATTTAGTAGTAAAAAGGGTGAAGTTTCAATGGTGATGGTAACAAATGGGGTTCTAATCCAAGCACATCACAATTCATGCATTAACATTAAAAAAATATATAGGTGGTGCCAATCAAAATGGTCGATATTTCAAGGATATTTAAATGTTTTAGGCTTGGCTATCACATGTAAAATTTCAGGGATCTAGTAATCCGTTGAAAATTTGCTTTAAATCAATATAGGCTCTTTTTCATCCAGCAACTTTCCATCTGATTTATCTCTGTAAGGTAACTTACTTCAAAAGTTCACAGCCTTGGTTATTGAGAGGCTTATTTCATTTGTTGGGTGTTTTTACCATTCACTTATCATATTAAGAATGGAATTGAATGAAATAGAGTCACAGATTTGGATGAATCGTGATGGTCAACAAAAGTTTTGTGGTTAATACTTTTTATTTTTTACATTCCTAAGCTCCCTGGTTTAACCATTTGCTCGCTTAGAGTTTTGAATTAATCATGTACAATTGATGTTGAAATCTACACCAGAAATGCAGTATTGTAATGTGGTTTTTCCACTTCCGTAGATACTGAAATGAAAATGCTGGGAATAGTTTATCTTGCAACAGTAAAAACACCTGATATCCTGGTCGATAATGATAGTATTCAAGTCCCCTGATGATTTCAAGGAAAGAGCTAAAATGAAAATACTTATATGAATTGAGAAACAAGACAACAATGATCTTATGATTCTATCGATGAGAACTACAATCAGCCCCTATCAGTGACAAGACTGGACTGATTGGTTGTCATAAGTAAGAATTTCATTCTTGATCATTGAGGAGCCATCCATCTTATGCTCATTTATAAGCAATCTGATGATGCAACTATGTTGCTGTTAGACAAATATTTCAATTTGAAGACCTTAGATGAAGTAATTGTTCATCAAAATAGAGGCTTTTAAATTCTAGAAACAACTTAAGGTTTCTAGTTTTCTAATCTGGGTGCTTGCTTTACATTTTATCGAGGGATTTTGTTGGCTGTGGCAAGATGGTATTTTCTGCAACAGGGGCCTGTTCTCTGCAACTTTCCCGGTTGGGACTTGTTAGAGCATGCTACACAACCTTTTTGGTCATTAGATTTAGTGAGCAATACTGAGAATTTCACCTTAAAATTCCATCCAATTATTGATAAATCATTCATTGACGATTCAGATCCATTCCAAACCCTAAGTAAAATCTTAAAATTTCTATATTTCAAAGCTGCCTTTTTCTTTTTATATATATAAATATATTTCAAAGCTGTCCTATATAAGCGACGGAGCACAAATATGTGGCATTTTGAATGCTTTACTATTATATAGACTGCAGATATTGTTTGGTCTAGATTTTTGAAGTTCCGCAGTCAAATTGTAAATGAAATGCGTTCTGCAATCCTATATATTGATGCTTTAATCTTCTCAGTTTATTTTCATTCCTCCTTTCTAGAGCATGACAATGATGATGTGATTCCATGTGTGATCTATATACCACTATCAGTTTTTTTTTTTTTTGTCACCGAGCGCGTGTTGCTAGGAAATACAAGTGTTGTTGAATATACTTCTTGTCTGTCACTCTCTGCTTGGAATTCAGTTCCTTAATTTTCTCTTACGAAACTTTATTAGGACAAATGCACCTCATCTTTTACATCTTGACTATTCATCTAGCTTTGAAAGGACAAAAATTCTATGAACCATTTGTGATGTATCTCCACTTAAATTTGATCCTAGTACCAACTCTAGCCTCATAATTTCTTGATGACTTGAGATGAAGTTGGTTGCGGGGCTTTCCTCTTCAATATAGCTTTTTTAATAAAAGTAAAGAACTTCAATATAGTTAGTTAATGGTTATTGAAGACTTGTATTTGGATGGGACTTAGCAGTTTATGCTCTCTGTAGAGAACGATTCTTCTAGTTTGTTTTGTAGTTGCCTCGTTAACTTTGTAAAAGAAACATTTATATCTGAATCCACAAGGAAGACATGGTGTCGAAAGACCTTTGATGTCTGCAATATAGTGAAGCAAGATTAATGCAGTATAGGCGGATCCTCATCTCTTTCATGATCTACCATTCTGCTGGAACTATGATGCGACGTACTGAAGCTGTTGTGTTGTGACAATCCTGCGTCTCAGCCTTTCAGGGAAGCTGACCCAATAATCGATTGTTCTGTAGCATAACACTTCAAGGTTCAATCCTAGAAGAAGAAAATCTGGGCTTGTGGAAGCCACCTCACATGCACATGACAGCCAGCTCATCAAGATGTGCAATATGTCAGCTCATGCATGCTTTGCAATCGCACCACCTTGTCAGCATGCAGTTGCAAACCTCCAAGTTCTATCAAGAAAAATTACTTGAAAATACGCACGATCACTTTCTTTGTGTCCCTTCATGTTCTTCCATTTTCATGCACTTCGATAATGTGATCCTCTTCTGGCTTCCGATACCTGTCGAGCTTTACGTGCGGGGATGTCCAGATTTCCTCGCTTGTGGCTATCGCCATTTGATCTCTTCCAAGTGTATGATGTGAAGGCAAGCTGGGATGACTTTTCTATGTGTTCTGCGAACGTGTTGCTTGGAAGTTTACCAATTTCCGTAACAGTTATGTATAATCTAAGTATTTGTTCTAGCGGGTTCCGACAATTTGTCATTTTTAATCTTGTGATGGATCGAGATGGATGAGAAGGGACTGCTTTTTATTTGTTGTTCGATATTGTCATTTCCTTTACGAAATCTTGCAGCCTTTTGCTACGGCGGAAACATGGAGAAAGTTTTCCACGTTTTCCTCCCCCTCCCCTCTCCCGTGGTATTTCTCATCATCTCGGTGGCCTTTTTAAGATTTGCAAGTTCAAAGAGCAATTCCCTATTTTCTAACTATTCCTAATTTATAACAACAAGTCTTTAATTTCTTTATATTTGATAGAAAATCTAGTTCCTTAATTCTATGTAAATCGTGAAAATGATGTTTAATTTAACAGTACCTCT